GTTAAAAGGGAGTTTTTCCTTCCCACTGTCGCCAAAGTGCTTGCTCATAGGGGGTCATATGATTGTTGGGTTTTTCTCTGTATCTATGAAGCACCTTGAGGCGACTTTTGTTGTGATTTGGCGCTATATAAATAAAATTGAATTGAATTGAATTGCTCTTCTTCCCTCTTCTGGGAGGCAGTGGGGAGGTAGAGCGTACAGCCCAATCTGGCGAGGAGGTGTTGGAAGTGTATCTCACTTACTTGTCTTACTTCTCTCTATCACCTTTTCTGTCCCTTTAAAAAAAAATGAGGCTCCATAAATTTTAAAGAGGTAAGCATTTCTCAGGTGCAGTGAATAGATAGAATAAACTGTAGAAAACTAAACAGCAGAAAGGAGAAGAGAAATGACAATTTTAACATAAACCATTGACACACTTCTGATCAACCCTGGGAGGGCCTCCTAGGATTAGGGTGTCTAGTGATAATGGCCGAAATATCCGATGAATCCAAGGTCCACTACTGACGATATGTCCCAAATTTTAATATTATAATTTAGATTAGATCTTTAATCCCCAAACCTAACCAAGGAAAAATGGCAGATTAGCTTGAGTAAAAGAACAAAAGTTAAGGCACACAACGATGTGTGCCGCTGGTAGTTTCTGGGCTGCTTTTCCTCATAACAGCCATCCCCCAAGATTTTCTCCATCTAAAGCAATGCATTGTCAGAGATTCTAACAGCTAGTGCTTTTACTGAATAATGTGATGATTAGTTGGTCTTGTGTACATGTCTATCTCTGCAGTAAATATGTCATTCTTTTTCCTGAGTCTGCAGACTCAGGATTTTAGCATTGCCCCGACCTTACAGCAAGAAGGTCCTGATTAATAACTTGACTGGGGACTGGATGGATTCTAGTGTCCATTTCCTCTGGGTACTCCAGCTTTTTCCACATTCCAAAACATATATATTTATTTATTGATTATTCTGTGCTAGACTATAGAATAAACTGTTGTATAAATGTATGGTAAACATGTGATTTGTATGTTTTGAGACAGTAAGATGAGAAACGCACCATTTCAATTCAATTCAATTCAATTCAATTCAGTTTTATTTATATAGCGCCAAATCACAACAAAAGTCGCCTCAAGGCGCTTCATAGATACAGAGAAAAACCCAACAATCATATGTCCCCCTATGAGCAAGCACTTTGGCGACAGTGGGAAGGAAAAACTCCCTTTTAACAGGAAGAAACCTCCGGCAGAACCAGGCTCAGGGAGGGGCGGCCATCTGCTGCGACCGGTTGGGGTGAGAGAAGGAAGACAGGATAAAAGACATGCTGTGGAGAGAGACAGAGGTTAATAACAGATATGATTCAATGCAGAGAAGTCTATTAATACATAGTGATTGAGAAAGGTGACTGGAAAGGAAAAACTCAATGCATCATGGGAATCCCCTGGCAGCCTACTTCTATTGCAGCATAACTAAGGGAGGATTCAGGGTCACCTGGTCCAGCCCTAACTATATGCTTTAGCAAAAAGGAGAGTTTTAAGCCTAATCTTAAAAGTAGCACCATATAAATGCAAGTACATTATTTACTGTTCATAGCTTGACAATAACAAGAAATATGTAATATCACCTGAAGAGCAACAGAGGAACTGAAATACTCAGGAGTGACATGTGAAAAACAAAGAAAATGGATCTTTTGTCAGAAATCCTTTATGTTTAGACATGTCTGCAGTTATCTGAAGTAAAGCAACTTGCTCAGGATATTTTGTATGCTTGTGTTTGTTCCTAGGTGTTCTTAAATGTGTAGTGACCAAAAATTTCTTAAACCAAGAAAAAAAGACAGAGTAAGCAGGCCACATTAGACTTTAGAGGCTGTGGCCTGGAGGAGGGATAAGTAATGTGATAAACTGTGAAGGGGGAGGGACATAGAGTGCAGTCCACAACCATCTGGAAACAGGGAGAGAGGAAGGGAGAAACAGAGAGGAAGTGAAAGAGTGGGACAGACATAGACGAAGGTCTGTTAGAAAAAAGGAACAAAAGAGTGGTATAAAGAACTTTAATATGAAAATTTTAAAGTCTGACAGAGGACCATGAAAAATGAACATTAACATGGTCTAGAGAAGAGAAGAGAAGAGAAGAGAAGATCCAGAAAACAAACTGAAAAGGCTGTTTGCTCTAGGAAAGACATCTGAAAAGGAAAACCAAGTAAAGATCCAAGTCAGGAGCTGAAGGAGCCTGGAACAGGAGCGTCACAAAGACCAGAGACTTTGAAGATTTGAACCACATGCTAAGGTAAAGTATGTACAGAAATGCTACACTATCAGAAGTATTAGTTAGATACAGTATGTCCCTCCCTATATTTTAAAACTCTATTTTGGTGTTTGCTTCCCCCTCCTACCTTCAAGATTTTCACTAATTTAAAGACATAAAGGAATAAAGATGGCTGTGTTAAGGATAGGAGTGAAGAGCTCGAGAATAAATGAGAAAATTGAACTGTATTTTTGGATCTTGATAATGTTTAAAATATGTTTAAAATAAATGTGCCAAACATTTTTGCTTTCATGAAGCTATTCGCTTTTGGACACAGCTGGTAACTCTTAAACTCTAAAAAAAAAAGAGAGAGAGAGACGGGATATGTTTCTGTGTTCTACCAATAGAAAATTGGTAGAAACCACTTTTTCTATCAGATGGATATACTTCTTTGCAACATTTTTGCTGAAAATAGGCCAGGGTGGGACTAGCCTGACAAGAAAAATTACATAATGTGTCAAGTGCCTTATATGAAGATATTACTTTTATTAATATACATAAGTTTTGGCAGACTACACAAATTGTACTGAATGAAAATCTCATTATCTGAGATAATAATTTCTCTGTATTTTTTATTTAAATCTTATGATTAAGTTTGAGGGCTTCATCTTCCATCACCCGTTTTATTGTCTGTTCTGTGAACTTGCAAAAATAAATTATGTGCAAATTTCCCCAAATCTCCTACACACAAATTAATAATCAGTTGATCAGACTGTTGTGACCCAGGAAAATTAGGTGCTAAAACAAAGGTAAGAAATGCAGTCAGGAATGTAAGATACTGTTATAAATATTTGCCCCATATGTTGCAAATTTGTGTTGCAAGATTTATTATATCATTATTAATAATGATAATTCAGTGGGTGTGGATCAGTGTGACAAATTAATTAAAATCAGAAATCACAATAAATCAGCAATAAAAGAAGACCTAATTTTCAATTTGCACACACAAGTAAACATGCAACATTCAAGGGACAAAGAAATAGTCTTGAGTCATTGCTAATATCATATTAGCTACTTATTAACAATAAATCTTATATTACTTCATATAAATTTCTTTTACAGTTTGAATTCCTAAGTACCATAGCTACATTTGAGGCATCCTGGATATTTTTTTCAGATAACTTTGGGTTAGTCTGTTTTCCAGCTCATTCCCCACACTAATCACTGAAACATGGTTTCCTCGGAATTTTGTGTTGTTATAAAATAAAAACCAAATCTGGGCCTTGGGCTCTGTGACTCACAAAGGCATGTAAAATAACTTGAGTATTGTAACTGGGTCTAGTGAGTAGGGGAGGGAACTTCCTTCCTGTCGGAAACTTCCTGTGTGGAGTCAGTAGTCCATGGCACAAGTGTTTATAAATGAAGACTTTCCCACTAAAGTTGGGTTTCAAGCAAGTCAAATTCAAGAACCTTTCAAGTATTGTTAAAAAGTGTTCCAATGCTCTATGATGTGCTAGTTAACAATTTTGCTATGCAAGCAAAAGGTTGCTGGCTCGATACCAGCCAGAAATGCAAGTGGTTCCGTCAGAAAAAGCATCCAGTGGTAAACCCTGCCTAATCAAAACTACCTGCTACGGTGAGCCATTATTGCATCGGAGGAGTAGAAGTTAGGGGAGGGGAGCAAATAAGATAAGATAAAGAGCGCGTGATGCTGTGAAATTGCGAGGTTTGAGATTTACAAAACTGCTGCGCCGGCTGCCAGATTATACTCTAAACTAGTGAAATTATGACTTTAATTTAAACAAACATCTGTCAGCAAACTTTAATCAAACATACAACCACTAATGATATCACAACGCAGAATGGAGGAACTCGAAGATTCCTCTACGGATATTTTGAGCAGCACGTCACGGAAAAATCCGCCGGACCAACATAAATATAACAGATACTGAGGACCTACTCACAACCGACATTCAGATACGCGAGTCCACAAACAAAAGCTATTAACTCTAAACGCGGACAAGAAATCCCTAAAACACATTCACGACATGTAAACAAGACGTATGCGAGACATTGATTTTCTCTGGAATCCCGGCCAGATAACACCGAAACGTGGATTAGAAACTTCATGCAGTCTCGTCTCAGAGCCTGATCTTATCATTGCTAAGTTTGAATATTTCCAGTTTAAAGAACTTGTTAAAACCAAACAGTGTGAATTAAAAGAAATATCTTTTGGTATGAACGGCCAGTTTCCTAGGGAAATCAACAACGGACGTAAAGTAATTTTGCCCATTCTAAAACGACACAGACAGAAGGGCAAACACGCCTCTCTTGTCGTGGATAACTGTTACATCGACAGACAGTTGTTACAGGATCCCACTACCACCCCTGTGGCTTGTCTGAATGGATAAGTAGACAAAATGATCAAAACCATATAGCAAAATTATAATCGTTAGATAAGAGGAAATTTTTCTACCTGGGTATATTGACAGTGTAGTGAAAAAGAAACAGATTTTTAAATACACATTCACAATCTTTCACTCGTCAACTCTTTTTACTTCAGCTTTTTTTCCCCAATAATGCATTAGATTTTTGTTTCTTTTTGGGAGACAGATGAGTGCAAGTGGTCTGAGCAGAACTCTATGATAGAAAGTTAGCAGAGGTGGAACAGGCTTTCACAAAATATTTTGCTTTTTAAGGATAGTATTCTGAATGGCTTCAGCACTGTTGGTTAGACATAGAAAGTGTGCCAAACTTAACTTACTCTTTTGACACAGATCCCTCAACACTTTATAAGACACCCAAAACACAGCACAACAAACCATGAAAGATTATTAATTTATATTTAACTATGTTTTTCAGAACAAAACAATGTACTGTATGTAATGTATTTCACATAGGCTAAAAAAAACTAAATAACTGAAATTGATCAGACAAATATTGTTAAAAGATCTCTCGTTGTCCTATTTCCCTCTCTCTTTTCCAGGATGCCAGTGTCACAGGGCTGTTTATGTGTTGTCAAGTATTTGATGTTTGTCTTTAATCTCATCTTCTGGGTTAGTATTTGCAGAATTTTTAATTGATTTCTAAGTTGGCTTTGTGTTTAATTTAAGATTTCTTTGTGGTCTCTACCAATTTAGTGTTGTATGCTGCATTCATTCACTCACACTGTCTTCCACTCTGTACTAAATTTTGGCTGTGTTAACATTACATTTCCTGAGAAGCTAGGAGGATGTGGCCTGTTTGGAGTTGGAGTCTGGCTGTCCTTCACGCAGTCAGAGTTTTCCTCTCTTCCACTTTCATTTCCGTCTCTCTCAGCTGCCAATCTGCTGCTAGTTGCTGGTGGTATTACTATGATAACAGGCTTTCTGGGTTGTCTTGGAGCGCTTAAGGAGCAGCGTTGTCTATTGTTTACGGTAAGACTTCATCCACATGTAATAAAGGTACCTTATGTTGAGAAATTCTAATCTTAGTGTGAAAACATATTAGTGGGGTAAGCCACCCTTGAATGAATCGCTTCACTCTCCAACTGCTCTTATCGTCTCTGCAGTTCTTTTTGATCCTGTTACTCCTGGTCCTGACAGAAGTGACTCTCGTTTTAGTTATCCACATTTTTCATGACCAGGTAAGCTCACTCTCTACAAGGTTCACATTTTCATTTATTTTTCTTTATTTTCATTTTGAGGTGCTCCAGAACAATAAAAAAAAAAATCAAAGTGTCAGTTGTGCAAGGCCATGAACAGGTTTAGTTGGACAGATGAGGATCATAGAGACAGGGTGAGATGGGGGCAAATGTTCTGTTTTGGAGACCACTAAAAGGAGCAGTTGAAAGAAGAAAAAGAAGCAGAGTTGCTGCAGTAAAATGTACACAGTAAGGAATGTGAAAATATGTAACGATCCCATAGTTAAATTTGAGAAGACTCATTAGAAAAGGCTAAATTAGGAAGAAAAAAAAAGAAGAAAAATGAACAATTGGGAATTAGCACTTCTAAGAATCAAACCAGCATATTTTAGTTAAAAAAAATCTTTTAAAAAAAGGAATATTTCTCTAAAAGTTAAATAGCTTAGAAAATAATATATTCAAAACGTCATAAAGCATAAAAATAAATCTATGAAAGGGGCAAGTGCCTATACATTGTCTTTTTACTTGGGAGCAATGGGAGCATTTCATGGTTCAGTAGCTGTCCCAAAGCTACTTGGGTATGCCAGCTGAAAGTGTCAGGGACTCATCCACCAACCTTTTTGTTGGTAAACGACCTGTTCTGTGACGTAAACTGCATTTTCTTGTGTCGTCATATATATCTATATATCTATATATCTATATATATAGATATATAGATATATATATATATGTGTGTGTGTGTGTATATGTATATGTATGTATATGTATATGTATGTATATATATATACATGACCCCACATAACCCCACAAGCTGCATGTCTATGCAGCTTGTGGGGATAGGTTAATTGGATAATCCAAATTGTCACTAGGTGTGAATGTGCAAATGAAAGTGAGTGCGAATGGTTGTCTGTCTCTGTGTGTTGGCCCTGCGACATGTCCAGGGTGTACCCCGCCTCTCGCCCTATGACAGCTGGGATAGGCTCCAGCGCCCCCCGCGACCCTGAAAAGGATAAGCGGAAGCGAATGGATGGGATGGATGGAGATATATATATATATATATATATATATATGTGTGTGTGTGTGTGTATATACACTTCTGACAGTCTGACAGCCGCTGAAAGGAATCTCTGCCACTGAAGGAGCTGATCAGTGCTGTTAGAGTCTCCTGCACGGGGTGGAAGATGTTGTCTTCCAGGGATGACAGCTTAGTCACCATTCTCCTGTCACTCACCACCTCCACTGGGTCCAGACATCATCCTAGAACACAGCTGGCCCTCCGGATCAGCCTGTTCAGTTGCTTCCTGTCCCCAGCAGAGATGCTGGTGCCCCAGCAGACCACATCGTAAAAAAATGTCTGAGGCCACCACAGAGTCACAGAAGGTCTTCAGGAGTGGGCCCTTCACTCCAAAAGACCTGAGTCTCCTCAGCAGGTACAGCCTGCTCTTCCCTTTCCTGTAGGGACCATCTGAATTGTGAATCCAGTCCAGTTTATTGTTCAGATGAAAACTAAGGTACTTGTAGCTGTCCACAGCCTCAATGTCCATACCTTGGATGTTCAGTGGTTGCAGTGGAGAATGTTTGTGCCTGCAGAAGTCTACCACCAGCTCCTTCGTTTTTCTAGTGTTGATCTGCTGGCACCAGTCCACAAAGCCTTGGGTCAGTTCTCTGTACTCCCTGTCGTCCCCATCAGTGATGAGGCCAACTATTGCAGAGTCCTTAGAGAACTTCTGCAGGAAGCACTGGGTGAAGTTGTGGGAGAAGTGTAGATGGTGAAGAGGAATGGAGCCATAACCGTTCCCTGTGGGGCCCCCGCTCTGCAGAAGACCCTGTCCGACACACAGTCCTGAGTTCTGGTCCGTGTGGTCCGTTGGTGAGATAGTCCAGTATCCATGTTGTGAGGTGATGGTCCACTCCTGAGTTCTCCAGCTTGTTCTTCAGGACTGTGGGAAGAATGGTGTTAAAGGCACTGGAGAAATCAAAGAACATGATTCTCACAGTGCTCCCAGCGGTCTCCAGGTGAGAGAGGGAACAATGTAGGAGGTGAATGACGGCATCATCCACTCCAGCTCCTGCTGGTAGGCAAAATTAAGTGAGTCCAGTGATGAGTTCACCAGGGGCTGAAGCTGAGCCAGGACCAGCCGCTCCAGGGTCTTCATCAGGTGGGATGTCAGAGCCACCGGCCTGTAGCTGTTGAGGTCCTTTGGATGTGGAGTCTTTGGCACTGGTACCACACAATTGGTTTTCCAGAGCTGTGGAACTCTCCCCAGCCTCAGGCTCAGGTCGAAGATGTGCTCCATCACCTCAGACAGTTGATCTGCGCAGGACCTGACAACCTGATGCCATCTGGACCCACTTCCTTCCTGGCTTTAATCCTCCTCATTTGCCTTCTAACCCAGATGGTTGAGTGAGAGACATGCTGGCAATGTGTGCTGGATGTGTACTGGATGCTGTGGTTGGGGGTGGGGAGTAGTGACCAGGGTGTGTGGGGGAGGTGTGAAGTGTCTGGGGTGTCAAAGGTGGAACAGCAGCAGTGGGGGTGGGTGAGTCTGCAGCCGATGTTGAAGACTGCATCCTGGATGAATAGAATAGAATAGAATTCAACTCATGTCACAAGTACAAGGCAACGAAATGCAGTTTGCATCCATCCAGAAAGTGCTTTGGAAATAATATAGATATATTACAAAATATGGATCTATTATAGGTATGTTACAATGTACATGGTATGAAGGTATGTTATGAATATGCTATAACTATAAGTATGCACAGGCTGTAGTGAGTGTACAAGCTATGTACAGGTTATGAACAGGATATAAATATGGTTAAAAATATGAAAACTATACAGATTGCAGATATACAATTGTGAGTATTAATAAACAGTTATAAACAGTTGTAAAACTATAATTATTGTATTGTACAGAATGATTGTCTATACAACCTTTACAGTAGTGTAGTTTAGATCAGTGAGATATGTGGATAATTTCTACAGTAGTTATATAAAGTGCTAGTGGTTGTAATTGGTGGTTCAGTCCATGTTATTATTGTGTGTATGAGGATACAGTTGGTAATCAAACCTGTTAAAGAAATGATTCAGTTCATTTGCCCACCTCGCATCCCCCATGGGCAGAAGGTGTTAATCTTTGTGCCCCAAGATGATTCCAAGGCATCTCCAGACTTCTTTAACATTATTCTGCTGAAGCTGAACTGATCAGTCCTTTCAGCTCTATCTGCACCCCTTTCAGCTCCTCCCTGTCTCCAAATTTGAAAGCCTTCCTCTTCTGCTTGAGGACAGCTTTTATTTCTTGCGTAATCCATGGTTTGTTGTTGGAGAAGCAACACGAGGTCTTAGATAAGTTAATTTAGGCTGTAACGAAGGTCACAAGGCTGTCACTGTCCTTCCCGTGGTCGTCACAAAGCACCTCCCACACAGTAGAGTCAAAACAGTCTTTTAGAGCCTCCTCGCTCAGTGTAAATTTGTTGTCACCTTAAAAAAACTCAACATGCAACCACTGATGTCTAAATCACTAGCAACAAAAGCGAGTACACCCCTAAGTGAAAATATCCAAACTGTGCCCAAAGTGTCAATATTTTGTGTGGCCACCATTATTTTCATGCCTTAACCCTGTTGGCCATGGAGTTCACTAGAGCTTCACAAGGTGCCACTGGAAACTTCTTCCACTCCTCCATGATGAAATCATGGAGCTGGTGGATGTTAGAGACTTTGCACTCCTCCACCTTCTATTTGAGGATGCCCCACAGATGCTCAATAGGGTTTAAGTCTGGAGACATGCTTGTGCCTGAGACCTCGTAACACTAATGAGTCACATGACACCAGGAAGAGAAAATGGCTAATTGGGCACAATTTGGACATTTTCACCTTGGGGTGTACTCACTCTTGTTGCCATCGGCAAGTAGGCAATAATGGCTGTGTGTTGAGTTATATAGAGGGGACAGCAAACTTACACTGTTATACAATCTGTAAACTGACTACTTTACATTGTATCAAAGTAAGGGGTGTACTCACTTTTGTGAGATACTTAGCCCTGCGACAGCCTGTCGCCCTGCGACAGCTGGAATAGGCTCCATA